CGTATTCAGAAGCACCTAAGTGACTTCGAAGCCCAAGTCCCAGCAATTTCGGCTTCTGTGCAGTCTCCAAATTGCTTTGACTTCCAGAAGGACTGGGGCTATTCATATGTTTATTCACTTCTAAAAACATTCCCTCTGGTGTTTGACAAATAGCAGTGCATTCCCTTTTCAGGGGACTACAGTGAGCTAAACAGCCCAGTTCTCTTGAATAGCACAGAGGAGAACTGAAGGCCTGTCCCCTGCTCATTGAACTTACTTTGGTGGAAAACATGCAGGGTTTTTTAAGACTCCTGAAGTTCCTTGTTCAGGTGCCTGCTCCTCATTTGAATTCGTTTTTTCTCCTCCCCTTTCTAACACTTCTGACTTTTAATTTGGGGGGAGGGATGAAGGGGAATGGTTGTTTATTTGCCATTTATTGTGGCAGAGAAGGGGGGATGGAGACCAGCTTTCTTGGACTCTTATATTCAAAATACCTATAAATAATTAGTTGCAGGGACCCAGCTTCCCCCTCCTTTTAAGGCCTAATTTAAGTTCTTTATCAAAATGATTTAAAATGCCTTTCTCAGTAGGAAACTATATTTCAGAGCTTTTATTTATTGGACTTCTCAAAAAGTGTGTTTTTAATGCACATCCTGACTTGCTGCCAAAACCGTCCACTGTAACATCAGGACTGGAGCAACCCGTTGTATGGGGAGTTATATTTATTAGATTTTTACATACTGGTGCAGAGCAATTAATCTAAATCAATCATAGACAGAATTGGCACATAAATCTCCTGGTCTTCACTGCTCATTGTGCTGTGTTACTGCCCTGACAACCTTCCCTCAAATACAGAAAATCTTTTCTCTTTTTCTAGTCCTCTTCAAGTGTCAATAATTTCCCTGTGCTGCACAGTTTGGTGGTGGTTGTGAGTTTGGGCTGTGGGCTTTGTTGTATTACATAGGAACCAAAGAGCTTTCAGGATTTGGAAGTAGAGCAAACAGCCTCAAACTCTGCAAAATATACGAGGATCATAAAGTAGTAAAGCAAAGGCAGATTTCCTGGTAGATGGTTGAATATCTGAACATTTGAGCATTATGAGCCCGTTATAGCACTGAGAGGAGATTACTTCCTTCTGGTTTAAAAAGTACAACATTTCTTGTGCTCGATGGTGAGTTTGAAGAGGTCAGTTTGCTTCAGTAGTTTCAGGACTCCCAGCCTCTGTGTGTGTGTATATGTGTGCATGTAGATCAGACCCATCCATTCTGGGATACCCTCTATCCGTTTCCCAAATTGCTTCCTGCTTTCCGAGCAGAAGTGGCGTATGAGGCAGCCTGGGCCTAATTACTTTAAGCAAATACAAAACCATAAACCAGGTTGTGCATGGCTGTGATTCAGTGTAACCCTCTGGCAATTTACACCAGCGAAAGCTCTGCCTGGCTCTGTTTTGAATACCTCTCATTACACATCCCAGGGATGTGACAGCCTTCCCTAAAAACTAAAGTTCAGTCTTTCCTAGTGATGGTTTAAGAGCTGTGGCTTTCCAAAGGGATTTTGTAGTACTGGGGACCATCACTCCAGAGGCTCTGGTGTTTCTGACGAAAGGGCTCTGACATCTAGGCAGTACTCTTGAAAGTTCAGAGTTTGGAAAGTGGGAGCTCTGTAAGGAATCATTACAATAAAAGGTAGAACAGATTCTAGCAAGTGTTCAATCACTCAGCATGGTGCCACTTAGAGGCAGAAGACCTTAAAACAACCAGCAAGATGTCTGCAGAAGAAACCTCTGCTGCCAGCTCTCAGCACTCTGTATCCTGTCATTTGGTGCCTTTCATCTTGGGTAAGTTCTGCACATGGGCTACAGTGCAGGCTGGGTCAGCGATCAGAGCCTGGGCACTGCTGCTGAGGCTCAGTTCAGATGTCACATGGGAAAGGGTTTGCTTGTGCAGTGCACTGAATAAAGCCAGGTCTCAGGAAACACTGGGGGCTAATAGCTTGCATTGAACCCCACTGCATAACCAACTGCTCCTCATATGGGTTTAGCTGCAAGGTAGGAGCAGTGGCTGGTGCAGATGGGCCTGTTCAGCTCTTCTGGCCCCCTTCAGGGGGTCAGGTTTTGGAATTCAGGATTTGAGGGCAAGATTTCCACCTGCATTGTTCAGGGAGACACTGGTCACAGCCTTGGAGATACAGGGGTCCCATCTCCTGCAGGACAGCAACCATGAAATGTCAGTGGGCCAGTCATGAGAGCAGGGATGGAAAAAAAGACATCAGGATGTTTCTTTATAGTGTCCCCTGTTATCTGTGAAGCTCAGAATGCCTCCAAGCTGAACATTTTATTCCTGTAGTTGAACTATTTGAATTAGCAATGCCAACAGCCCTGTGTTTAGAGGATCAGTTCAGAGGTCTCACAGGGCAATATCTACCCAAACTCTTCCTCTGATATGTGAAATGAGTTAATCCTTTCTTTGAACTATGTTAGAGCCACATCTATCCTTTTATTCAGTAGAAGAAAATAGAAGATGTCTCATTAAATGCTAAGGTAATTTTCCTGACTGAAAAGCCAGTAGATGAGGATGCTTAATTTAGAAAAGGGGGAAACTGAGGCACGAAGGAGCCATCACTGACACTGCTGTCAGCGTTCACCTCTGACTGGTGTCCATCTCCAAGACCTGTCAGTGGGAGAATGTTTAGGGGAAAAAAAACAAACAAGGAGACCCTTCTCTTGTAACAACCTCTTTGTACAAACTACGCCTATGGGAGAAGGGGGTACTCCAGCCCTGCTCACTGTCAGTGTGACTCATGTTGTACCAGCAGTTCATGGGTTTATGGGGAACTGCTTCTAAAGGGGTGATAGGATTAATTTGAAAACTCAGCTCTAAGTGCATTTGAACAAGGGGAATTCAACTCTGTTCCTCTTTGTGTTAAGTAGTTTTATTCATAAAGTGAATAAACACATGCAGCTAAAGAGCAGTAGGTACCCCAGGTGATGTTAATGAATGACTGACATTTCTCCAATTAAACATTACACTCTACCTTTCAATTAAATCACAAAACGGCAGAATTCGTTTAAAACCCAAACTTCCCTCAGGAGAACAAATCTGTTTGGGTGCTCAACAAAAATTCTGGGTTTGATTTTTTTTCCCCTTGAAATAGATGTGAATGGCATGAAATACTTCTGTGTACTTTCAAGAATAATTGAAGCATATGTACCCAAAGTGTAATACTTTGCAAACTGGTTTCAGACTAAATTATCCATTATATGAGACTAACACATAAAAGCCTTCCTCTACATCAAGTGATAGATCAAAGGGAGGAACGATGGCTTGTCCACATGCATAAACCCCACCTCTCAAATTCTGAGAACAAGGATATGCAGTCTGCATTTTAACTACATCTCCATGACATGAAACGCTATTCCTGTGTCTCCTACTGCGGGAGAGTCAGGTAGTCCTGGCTACAAAGATTCCCTTTTACATTTCTCCCTTCTTTTTCTTGTTCCATCACACAGATGACATTTCAGTCACTAGTCCCGGGTGACTCTCATCTGAAAACTAAACTTCGCTCAGTTCCTCCCAGGGCAGTGGTGGAGCCTGTCAGGGAGCAGCGAGATCCTCGGTCCTTTCGTGGTACATCTGTGAACCCAAACCCCAGCCCTGCAGCCTGGGGAGTGGATGCTGGTGGAGATGTGCACCATGAACGCTGCTCTCTGCCTGTCCCATGGGTACCCATCTTCTTGTAGTGGTTGGAGCACAGGGTTATGAGCCAGAACATCTCCTCTGTACTGTCTGGTTTGTTGAACTCAGATGAATTTAAATCTTTCTGTGCTTCATTTTCCTATCTGCAAAATTAATCTGGTAATATTTCCACCCTTGTAGGGGTTCTTTAATTACTTTGTCTACCTAAGCCCCTTTCCTTTGGGTGGATGCTGTGAGGGGGACAAATGCTGAGCATTATTGCTAGTATACACTACTGGATCACTCTGTGATAAGGACCCAACAGTCTCAGCTTTTGGAGTGTTTTGTTCTGAGTCTTTCTCACTACCTCTTCATCCTAAGAAATGTTATAAACTTACCTATAAACTTCCTGGTTTAGTGGCATAATTAAAGATGTTTATGCTTGAAATCTGACTGCAGTAGGAGACTGAAGATGTATAGTTTACATGCACGTCTAGATCTAGTCTCCCAGCCAGTAGATTGGATGTTAGCCCAATTATTCCCATTAGCGTCTGGTTTCCGAGCATTGATGGACTACCATGATCAGAGAATAAATTCCTTAAAATAACCTCCCCTGGCTGAAATGTAAGCGGACTTTTTATTATTGTCATGGTTGCTAAAAATGTGAAGTGCACTGGGGAGGTGCTGAGCTGAGGCACCAGAAGAAGAGGCTGTGATCACAGAAAGGCTGGAACTTCTCCTCTGATCATTTCTGACAGCTCCGAGTGGTTCTTCCACAATTGGAACCACTTGTGCTGCTTATTAATATAATGAAACTTATCCTCCAGCAAAAACAGAACCAAAGGTTGACACAAGAGTGGAGCGAGAGGCTGAAACCTGATCTGGTTAGGGATCTCTTAGAGATGATGGAAGACTAATAAAATCCAGTCTGTTTCCTACCTCCATTACAACTCCCACACCCAGTCTGTCTTCACAAGCTGAAGTGGAATAATGGCTCCTTCCAGAGCCAAGGCAACCCCCTGTTCTGCTTGAGAACAGCATCTGATGGTTTCTGGGAGCAGGGCCTGTTTAGGTACCTTCCTTCACCTGTGAACTTACTCAGTTTGATTCCAGTGGGTGCTGGATGTGGCCTCTAAAATGCTTCTTATTTCTTCAGGGATAGACTTTGATGGGGGAGTTAATTGTTTGGGGGGTTAAAAAGGGTTTTCACAAAGCTCAGTGTTTGGTAAATCTTCATTGTAAAGGTAAGCATTCGTTAAAAGCAGAAAAAACATTCATTTTTCCATTGGCAATGGGTTAGAGCAATAGTGAAAGCTCTGCCTTTAACAGGACTGCTCAATACAGGAGATATGGAGTGAAAAAATAACCCCAAACCTGAGGTCTGGAGACTTTTCTAGAAGTAGGTAGGGAAGCAGCTGAGCAGAACTGGGAGGTGAGCAGGGCAAAATGTCAGAGTTGATTTAACTCATTACATTTAAGTGGAAAATAGGGGATAAAAGTTTAGTTTAAGAAAAATTAAGGAAATACCCAAGAATGAGTTTACAAAGTGCAATATTTTCTCTCAAAGCCATAGGGTTAGCAGGTTGGTATCCAGCATCTGTGACTGATTAGGGGCATTTGAGATGGCAGGTGGCTTTAGGAAATGGAAACCTTACAGGGCTTTGCAAACACTTTCTGTAGTTAGGCAAAGCTATTTGATTTATTCTCACTGGTTTTCATTCTATAGCCTGGTTTAAAATCTATGAACTTGTCTTAATCCATGTTAATATCTTCATATAGACACAGTGTTGTGAAAATTCTCCAAACAGATTCTTTAGAGTTGCCCTGGAGAATAACAGAGTTACTGAGTTTACACTTCCAAGGGCCGTGTTAAGGTGATGAACATAAATCATGGCATTTAAAAATGCCAACCAAATCTTTTAGACAGTAATGAGATCAAGAACCAGATCTGATCATATTTGCTCCTGACAGTTTTAAAAAGATCTATAGTTCTATGTACTTCCATGCTGCTTGGTCATGCTGAAATTGCTTGTCTATGCTAAGAAGCCAAACCCCAAAAGAACCCCTCACCAGGCTTAAAAGGGTGCAGCCAGGTTGATCCACACCACTGCACATGGCAGCGTCACACAGCTGGAGAATGAGCAGGGAAAGGCAAACTTGCATCTGTTCTTGGCTCTGGTCAGGAGGCCACGAGCTCCTCTGAGGCTGTGCAAGATGCAGGGCCACAGAAGAGCTTACGCTTCTCCTCTTTTCATTTGGATGGGAACCAAAACTTATCTCTGGGAAGAAATATTTGGAAAAGAGACTCAAGACGGGAACATAAACCCCATGGGAAGTGGCTGGAGCTGCTTCACAAATCAAGCCCATACACAACTGGCTTCTTACAAAATGATAACAGTAGGTAAAATAGAATTTGCAGTTGCAAGCAGTACAACTGAAAGATGATTCAAGGCAGGTGGAGTTAAAAATCTCAATTAGCCTTCCCAAATAGCATTCCTGGGGAGTAACTCAAGCAGCAAATACTGCAGAAGCCCCAGCACAGGTTTGTTATTACTAGAGAAGAAAAATCAGCCTTTGGCCAAACCTTTCCATTATCTGATACTGTAAAACCATTCCTGCAGTGCTGTCTTGAGATGTTCTAACCTCGGCACTTGTCCAGGTCAGTTTCCAGCTCGGGATCGTGTGTACGTCTGTGTGTGTTCTGCTGCAGATTTGTTTTAAATCACCCTTCCTGAAGCTGTGCAGCATTCTGATTTATAGGATTTTACTAAGCTTCACCCAGCCTTTTCTTTTCTTTACTAAGTGTATGTTTTACTACTTTGTATTTTTTTTCCCAAAGAAATAGATTTTATTGGACAGGGGTTCACATAGCTGCATAATGTTTGTCTTATGGATTTTGTATTAAACCACTTTAACACTTTTGTAGACCTGAGGAACTTGGCAGATACTGTGAGTGAAATGCCCTGAGCTTCATCTTGCATGCTTTGAATTGAGCATGCTGAACTTTGCCTAGTTACCAAGCTGACACGTGAGCAATCCATTTGCAATTCAGAGACACAAAGAGAGAGGGGGCCTGATCCTGCCAAAGGAAATCCTGCTGCTAACTGCAGCAAGACCAGCAGCAAAATCATAATGACTATTTAAGATGATATTTCACAAGTACAGTAATGTGACAATCATGATGAAGTGGTGGTTTTTCCAGAGGCAGTGTCTGAATTAATAGGGTCTTTCCAACCGGCTCTCCTTGAAACAGGTTGCAAGAGGTAAAATAGAGAAATAAATAGTCTCTAGGGTACTTTCCCCTTGTCAGGATTTTTATTCATTCAATAAATAGCTGTTATATTTTGAGGTCTGGGGTTTGTTTTCTCATTGTTGTCATCTTCCCCTTCTTTATTGTAGCATGAGTAATCTAATTTTTCTGCATAGCATGTTGCAGTTTGATAGACAGGTCTCTGAGGGAAGCCTTATGTGTCAGCATCAGTGAAAATGACTTCTGAGGTTGGCTCACACCCCCACGCGAGCGTGGAATCCAAATCACCCCAGAGTGAGGCATCCGCTGCCCCACGCCTCGCTGCTGGGTAATGTATTCATTTGCCTCTGGCAAAAGAAGAGTGAGATCCTCCATCGCATACTGATGCCATGTGGAAGAAGCCATAATTGGGACTGGTCACATGTTAAAGTAACTGCAAGCTGCTTTTTGCCGTCTGTGTAGATGAAGTTCACGTCTCTTGATCTGCACGTACAGACATCCCCTACTCCGAGTATGTGCACGGTTTGGAGACCCAGCAATTCCAACACAGATTCCAACAAAAAACAGGAAATGCAGATAGGCTGGAGCTCCCAGGGCTCTTTTCCAGGATTCGATCCTAGTGGGAGGAAGTTCTACTGGGTTCCAATACTACTTTCATTTATCAGTAATTATCAATGACTTGTGCAATTGCATTCCCCATTTCAATCAAGGACAGAGATTTCAAATCTAGCAAGAAAATGTTCACAAATCAGCTGTTTCCTTTTCACAGGCAGATGCAGACAGAGGGAGTTTTTGCTTCAGGTGCATATAAAGCTTTACAGCTTGGCTTCTAAGAGGAGTCTTTGGGACTGAGCTTCCCAAGTTTCATGCCTCGTTCCCTCCTCTTAGCAATACACCTTTAATAATTTGGCTCCCTAGTATTTTAGATCCGCATGGGAAGCCCACTGAGTGGACAGGAAGATTTTGAGGGATTCATCTGCTTCCAGTTATGCCCCTAAGAGCACTCCTGCCCTCTCTTCCCTGGAGAAGTTACTAGGTCTGCTGGGTCTGGTTGGAGCTGTGGAAGATCTGCCACTGATTTCTGTGGACGTGGATCATTGCCTCAGTTTCCCTGTCTATAAATAAGACCTTTAATAAGGGCATAGTCTCTCCAGGGTATGGAAGGGATACTGAGCACCTGAGATGAATGCTGCTACCTGATGATACTGTGATTGTGGGCAGTGACACTACAGCTGAACCTGCAGATACGAAATAAGGCTGTAATTTCTGATTTCACTGTCGTTCCACTTCAGGTAGGGAAATGGAGCTGGTTTTGGTGCAAAGCCACCACATTCGATCTTCTTAACCTTCAGTCTGAATAGCTGCAAAGAAGAACAGAAGAATTTTAAGCTTAACATTTTAACTTGGCTTGATACGCTCCACGGCGGCAGGGAAATAAACTACCTTCTTTGGAGCACTTTATTCCTGACATATAACCCATTCCTCATTTAGCAGATGGAATTCTGCAGGCTGTGTACATTGTTTACATGACAGTGAAGATGTGAGGAGACACACGCAGGTCTTTACCATAGAAAGCCACCAACAGCAGAGGTCCTTTTTTAAGAGTCCATCATTGCTGCTCTCCTAGAGTAGGAGACCATCCTAGCATGGGGTTAGCCATGTATGACATTAGGCATAGCTTTACTAGCAAACTTTATACTCTTTAATTGTTGCCGTGTTTCCTGGCAACTCTCAAGTAATAACGTCAATAGGTATCAAATCTTAAGTGCATAAGACTCAATTATTATCTTCCAGAACACAGAGACTGCTCAAATCCAGACTGTGAGCTCACAATCTGCTGTTTACTTAAAGTATATAGAAAGCACTTGACCTCTTCTCAGTGGCATCCATGTGGAAACACTTGACAATAGAGGCCTTCCTTGGTTTTCTTAGGAATCATGTTTCAACGTTTTTATCTCCTCTAATTAAGGTCAATGGTTCATACACTCCTCTCCTCACCCCACTCTCCCAAAATTGCAGGCACTTACCCGGCTCCAGTTACCCCATATGAAACATGCTAGGCCCAGTTTGTGCATATGCAGTTCCTGGGGGGAGTGAACAGAGTCACGGAGATTTGGGGCTCTGCTGAACCAAACACTGTGTCTGTGCTTTTATGTTCACGTGCTCCTCTACCACGATGAGCAGCAGAGTCTTATGGTGAGAAGAAAACAGGAGGCGGGGGGTGGGATTGCTGCAAATGTAATTCCACTACGAGAATATTTCCTAACCCACAGCACATGTTCCCACCCAGTGGGGAAGGTGTGAGCGAGTTCTGAAGGAGGACAGTGCAGAGCGAATCTCATCTCCCTTTGCAACACTGTAAGTGCTAATTGCAGGCGGGAGGGAAGGGTGTAACTGGTAGACGTCTAGGAGAAAGCCTGGGGAATACAGCACAAGGACTCATTTTGTCATTGAAACCCAGGAGTGCTTCACATCCCAGCATCCCTGGAAAGATGCACTTGGACACTGCTGTGCTCTGACTCAAGCCCTGGCTGCATCTTGGTGCAAACCTTTGTCTCATTCATGGGGCACTACCAAGGAATGCTAATGCATTGTGTCTGCATGGTAGAGACCAGCTTCCAGTTGCCTGTCAGGCTGAAATAACACATCGCACTGGATAAGGGGCCTGTGGGGACTGCCCTGGTAGCTTTTCAGAGCACTATATATCCTGGTTAGAAATAATCTTTTCTACTAAAAAGACTTTCTTTTATCATCATTATTATTATTATTGTTGAGTAGGTAGTAACTGTACATGGTTAACAATGAAAGGGAGAGGTTTGAGAAATAAAACTCTATGCTGATAGAAGTCACATGTAAAACCAAAACCAGACCAGGCAGCTGCAGACCTCAGTATTTATTTAGGCTTGTAGCTGATGTGTTGCACTCTTCCTTTTTAGACTGACTTGTTCTCATTTCTCACACATTACACAGTATCATTGTCAGAAAACAGCCAATGCTGTCCTTTTGTTGTTGTTAAAAAAACAGAACACACTAACAGAGTTGTGTGCTGTGTGAGATTGTGCTGACCCTTGCCAAGGCAGGTCTGCAAGCCAGTTCCTCCACGCCTCCATCAGCACACGCTTTCAGCCTAACCCCTTGTGCTGCACTCAGCCATGGGTACAGGAACAGGACACCTGTTTTCTGTAGAGAATAACAGCCCCAAAACATCATTCCCCCTTCCCTTGTGCTGGTTTGTAAACAGTCAGAATACCTGTTTGCTTCCAAGGGTGGAGCGGGTCAGTGTGTGCTGCTGTGGAATCGGTGCAGGGCTGTGGGTTCCTCACCCCAGTGGCACAGGGATGGCATCAGTAGTTTCCTGGTGACAGACGTGTTGGAGCACGGGGACAACCTGGAGAGAGGGGTTTGTCATGGGAAAGTAGAAACTTACTTGCTCCCAAAATATTCTCTTGCCACTGACAGCACAGCCAGCACCGCCACTGTGAATCAGAGTCACGGTCATGGAACGGTTAGGGTTGGGAAGGCAGGTGATGGGCCAGCTTGGCCCTGCAAAAGGTTTTGTGTTGTCACTTACTCTAGGATAGTGCAGTAAAAATCATGGATGTTCAGCCTGAAAGAGCTCAGTCACTTGTGCCATAAGGTTAATTAAATACTGCACCCCTTTAGGTGTTTGTGTCAGGCTCTGAATTGTACCCCCTTTCCTTACAACCAGAGGACATTCCCACATCTTCAGGGATTTCACACAACAAGGTTAGAGTTTTGTTTCCCCTGGAACTGAAATTAAACCGCTTTGGAGCTGGAAACCAGCAACTCTTGAAAATCACTCTGCCAGCAAAGCAAGCCGGGAGGAGAAAAAACACAGTATCCCAGAAGTGAGCTACAGGGTGACTTTTTAGTAGCAGACAAACTATATTATTACTTAGTACCTGGTTTGCTATGTAGAGGGCTGGGTTACACGTCTTCTGTTTAGTTCTGTAACTGACCATGGCACTTTAGTGGCTCCTCATTTCACTTCTGCAGCACCTTCTTGACTCCTTTTGGGAAACCCTTCATATTCCTGCCAAAATACAGTCACTGGGGACTGCTCAGACATCCTCCTCTCCCCGTTGGATTTGAGCTCCATCTTTTTTGCAAGTATGCTGTGAGTTTTCTCCATTGCTGGGATATGTGTTACCTTGTTCAGCTGCATTTAATTTTGCATCCATTTGCATATTCTCGTCCTGGGCTGAATCCGTTGAGATTTTCCCATGACACATTTTGCCTCTGCAGTTCCCCGAACACATGTCCCTTCTGCTGTGGCAAGAGCTGCTCTGTGGATTCATCTTTCTCTTTGGGAAAGTGAGGCTGGTTTTCCGACGGTCAGGATTTTCTGTGCCTTCACAAACTCATACCAGTGTCAGTGCAGACACGGTCTCTTTCAGTTTGGTAGGGATGAAACTCAAAGTCCTTTCTCACTTGAGTCTGTTGGCTTGAGCGAAAGGTTGTGGTGTGTGCCACGTCACTGGTTTGCCGTTGGGTGTTTTGTGCTTTCATTAAGGCTGTTTCTACATTCACAGCTCTCACCTGTAACAGGAAAACTAATGTTAATGCCAGCCTAACTCCCTTCAGATACGGTGAGGAGCAGTGCACGAGCAGAGGTGATGTTCTTGGGTATTGCAGTAACGGGGTCACAGGAGCTAGATAGAAAAGCAAAGCAGAAACTAGTCCAGACTCTCAGCTGCCAAGGATTAGGGTTCATTTTCAGATCTCTACCTGTTGACAAACTGGGGGAGTTACTAACATGCTTAAAAACACCCACCAACCCCAGCCTCCCAGCTGAAAGGAGGGTGTGAGCAGGTTAACAGCACAGGGAACCTTATCTCTGTCGTGGTGAAAAATCAAAGGCGCGTTTCCAGCTGTGCCCGTGAGCACTATTTGGTCATTGAACAAAGCAACTGGCACCTCGTATCCAACCTATGGAATGATCACAGCCTGGTTCAGGTGCACAAACAAGTGCAGAAATGAGCTCCATGCACAGAACTCGTTGTTATTCAATCAAGCCTTTAATTGTAAATGTTTTAAGCAAGGAATTGCCCTGTTTTATGGAAGTGTGCTCAGCATTACTCCGCTGCAGACATCTGTCATTCAGCAGGCGCCACCCAATAAAAGTGCTTAAAATGTTCTGTTCCTCAATTAAAATATAAACCAGAGCTGTTTAAGGGCTTTTACGAGGTGATTTCTGTTTACCTGACAGATTTCCACGCTGGAGGAGTGTGAAGCAGGATTTCAGGTTCTGATCAGAAGTGACGGCTCCACAGCAGAGTAAAGCTTCAATTGTTCTAATTCATTCCTTTTTTTTTTTGTTAATATCAGGAATAGTAAAAATCCATAAAGAAGAAGGAAATTCACACACCAGAGCAAAGCTCAGAACTAGGAAGGGTTGATGATGATCATGGACAGTGTACTCCCCAAAAGAAGTCAGGCTTCGGCCCTGGGGTTCTGTGCTGAAGGAGCCTGTGTCACACCTGCTGGCCTCTCCTTCCACATTTCATCTGGCAAAACACAGGTAAAAGTGCTCTGCTCCTGTCTGAAACAGCTTCTTAGGAAGAGGAATGAGACTATGGCGAGACAAAATCTCCCATTTTTCCCCTGATGAAACACTGCATGAATGTTCTCATGGTTATTCCATTGCACATGGGGATCTCATCTCCTGTTCCACCTTACTATGGCTCTGAACAAAGACCTTTCTTTTTTCCTCCTGCTACTCAGGCAGGAGTGGACCTCACACTGAAAACAAGTGCTTTCTCTAAAAGAAAAACCAAACCTGTACCTCTCCTTGTTCCAGGGCCTCAGAAACTCTTCACTGGCATTAGAGACGCCATCTGCCAACAGCAGTGTCAGGACAAGACTGTACCCTTGCAAGACAAAGCCTTCAATGCTGAACCTTAAATCCAAGCCTTCTGCTCTTGCCAGGTAACAATTTGTGGACTGATTCACTCTGTCTTACATTGCCATTAAGCCATTGGGTCACCCTTCATCACACCAGGGTCGCAGCTGGTCTCCAGCAGTGCAGGCAAGCAAAGGACAGAGCCTGTGGTCCTCCCTGTGGCTGCTTTTGGATACCTGCAGCTCCAGAGAGCTGCCTCATCACGTAATGACCCTCACAGCAACATGAGGAAAGAGGCTTATCCTTGAACAACACTGCTCAGAAAATGCTAGGAAATTCTACATTAGTCCTTAACTGTTGTGTGGGTTTTCTGCCCCTCCAGCAGCAGCAGGATGAAGCATTAGCCTCAGCAGTGATACCCCCCCTCAGTTTTTCATGTTATTTATATGTGCCCTTTTGTAAGCATATCAATTACACAAGTAAGTTCTCAAGTGCTCAGCCACTCAATACAGCCACACAACAGAGGAAAGAGTCCAGGTTAACATGGCAGTACACATGTGCTGAACATACCAGGGGACAGGAGTAAATGGTGACAGGTACAATTCAAAGCCACATCTTAAGAACTGTTTTGTTGCAAGACAGCACTTCAAGCTATTAAAAATAAACCCTGCATTTTAATTTCCAAGGTGTAGCAGCCAGAGTTCGTCAGAGTTATTCTTAGCCATGGCAGAATTGCCATCTTCAGGCCACTTTTGAACACACCAGATTATTCCACGCTAATCCAAAATCCAGTGCAAGCTCCTCCCTCCCCTCTGTTCATTTTACCCTTTGCATTATGAATGCTGTGGGTAAGGAGTGCCTGTTTCACAGGGGGCTTGGTATCACAGCAAGCTGGTTGTTGATCTCTGGATGCCTGCAGGCCAGCAATCTGTGCTACAAGTTACCCCTCTTAAAAAAAACTCACAAAAAAGACAAGTGGATAAAACTGATGGCAGCATCTGTAACAGGCTAATTGGGCCCTTGTGGGCAACACAGCAGATACAAAATTAAAACAAACAAAAATCGCATTGTACAACTGCACTTTCAGGACTGTTATCACAAAGGAATCCGCCTGGATTTTTATTTTAGGTTTGTTTTGGTTAAAAGGACCTAATTATGGCCAGAGCTGGAGTATCGCAAGTCTGTTTTCATCTATAAAGAAAGGATATTTTGCCTCTGAACCTGAGAAATTGTTAGAAGTTGGTAATTAGTATGACTTGTTAATAGAGTTTGGCTGTGATTAAGCTGTGATTGAGTGTGAGTTTGGTTCTTGTCAATGCGAATGCCTGTAAGGTTGAGAGATGTTTAATGAGACACCTGTTAGCAGCACCCGGTGGTGCTGCACCTGACTGGAATCTGTACTCCTGAGCAGGACCCGAGTGTAGGGGAGGGTCAGACCCACTGGGTACGTGCCCCCAGCTGCAGAGGGCTGCCCCTTGGTGGTAACAGCCTCACACCCTCCAGCACAGCCACAGCCTGTGCTCCAGTGCACCGGGGCCAGGTTGTGATGGCTGGTGTGACACATCAATTACACTTGAGTTGGGGAGTGCAACAGGCAAAACGTTGACATCTTAATTTAATCACTCTGCGATGTTGGCCTCTGCCACAGTGTGATGGTAGGTCTTCGGGAGGAGGCAAGGGAGAGGTTGCAGCCAGGCAGGTTTAAGCACACACGTACACACAAAATGTCCAGCCATTGGGTAGCCCGTAATACTGGGGCTCTTTAAAATGTGCCACTGATGGAGAAAGGTTCTGCACAGCTAAACCCTTGTTTGTCCTTTCCTTTGGGCATTATCCTACAGGAAGAATGTCCCACTGAGTGACTTCAGTATCTCCTGGGCTTTGGACAGAGAAAGTTTCATTCACAGGCTATATTTTGTGTCAAAAATCAGCATAATTTTCCACATGACTCCATGTAACCCCTCCCAACTCCAAAATTCAGGCCTGATGATAGACGTGTGTGTATTTGGACTTCATACGTAGAACATTTCCCCCAAAATGTCTATTAAAGTGGCTGCTACTTAAAACACACCTGGGTTTTACATGGAAAACCCAAAGAAGCTGGAAGCAATCAAGCTGGCCACTGTCACAGTCTTTTAGTATCTGAGAAATGCCTTAGCTGGGAACAGGAGCTGAAGCATTTCGGCTCGTGTAATGTCCTTCAGGAAGGAGCCATTGGCTTTGTGATGAATCTGAGCAACCACTGGATGGCATTGCTCTACACGAATGTACCTGCGAGCGCAGGCGGTGGAGCCAGAGCAGGCTAGTGTGCCAGGGAGATTAATTCAAACCCGGGAGGCTCAGGCCACCGTGACCTTCCCCATCCTTTAAATAATACTCAGACCTCTCTTAGCTGTCTGGCTGCGGCCTCCAGACAGAGTTTGGTCAGAGTGAACAAAGCCAACATCCTGAAGCACACTTACTACTTAATGAGTGCATTTTGTTAGAGATCAAATAGCCAGGTTTTGATGTTTTTCCTTCTTATGAGATGGGAAAATGAGTTGTTTGTACTTTCTGACTGTATCAAGACTACCTCAGCACAAGCCCAGCCAGCAAGCCATGACTTGACCCAAGCCCTGATGCTGCAGATGTCAGCTGGCCAGGCAGCTCCGCTCCCCAGGGCTCACATGGAGGGAGTCAGCTAACACTGGCTGAGCTGTGTGTGGTGTGAAAAGCAAAACGAAAGCAAAAAGAAAAACAAACGGGATGCCCAACATGTTCTGTTTTGATGTGGGCTCGGGAATGCCGAGACCAGGTTATTATCCCAAGTGCGGTGCCTCTCCGTGTGACAGCAGCCTCTCAGCACGTGTTAATACAACTTTGCCTCCTGCTACATCACTTACTGATAAGGAATCAGCTGGTGGCCAGACAACCTGATGTTCATATTGTCCCCATGGGTCTCTGTCTCTTTCATTAACAACACTCTGTGTTGGCCTGGTTCTTTTAGCAACTGCATCTGGCCAAGCCTATATGAAAATGTCACTGGCTCAGTTTGTACCCAGAAGAAATCTGCTGATGGCCATGGAGATGCAGCAGGATATTTGGAACTGCAGCCCCACAGAAAATGTGTTTGAAAGGAAATACAGTATTTGTGAGGGTCAAGTTTGAAGTCAGCTGACAGTCACAGGCAGCACATGTATCTTCAAACTAGGATATAACTCATCATCAGGTGAGTACTTGTACATTGGCTGTTCAGTAAAGCCATTCTGGGCACACATTGCCTATTAGTATCGCCCTGGTTTGACCAGTCTAATAAATTTAATAATGATAGTCAATTAGGTAATGCCAGTTACAACAGGAGTAAAATTAGATCAGTTCAAGTCCTACAAAAGCCCCCTACACTCCCAGTTCTGAGTTCTGTACTCATGCCCCTGTGTTGTGTTGCACTCAGCTGCCTTTTTAAGTAGGGGAGAGGCAGAATGAGTAACTTGCTTTATAAACTAAATTTACATATGTAAGTATTTTTTCTATGAACTCATGTGTCTCCTTCTTCTGCACCTACCTCCTAATCCAAAACCCAAGGGAACTGTATCCGTCTTGACCTGCTGCCTACTGGCAGATGCTTTCTACTGTCAGAAACGCTTAGGCTCAGTGGGCAATTGAGGTTCTTCTCAGTCTCCACAGTGGGCTGTTCAGGTCCCACTTTGGGTGGCCACCACTGATACAATGACTTCAAGAGGAGGCCAGGACAACTGGTGTTGATTAACTGCTTAATGTCTCGTATTAGCTGTTGCTTCCCATAGGAAGACCTCTAGGACATGACACCAGCCTTAAGTGGGATGAAGAAAAGGCAATTTGTTGCCAACTTCAGCACCTCAGGGCTGTGTTTGAACACAGGTGGGATAAATGTGAGTATCTATATTTATTTAACAGTCAAGGAGCATAAAGGCTAAAAAAAAGAAGGGTCTTCCTGTTTCTCCTCAATGCAGAACAGGCTGTGTCTGGAAAAGATCCCCTTGGACCCAGCATTCATGAGGGATGGCAGGGGTCCTGACTGAGGTGCCCACTGCTGTGCAGATCCGTACAGACAACCCAATCTTTCTGGAGTCAGGGCAACTCCCCAGACCTCCCAGGAGTCAAGGTGACCTTGGGCACTGCGGGGCAGTCCAGAACAGTGGCAGGCAACAGGAACTGAAGAAAATTCAATTCTAGACTAATTCCAGCCCATTACAAAACTCTCAGGAGAAATGAGCTGGACCTGCTGGAGCGGCGCGTTGTGCTCGGTGGCGCAGTGTAACGGGGGATCTGTCACTGTCAGCGCTGCTCCTGTCTCTCTGGAAGCCATGGTGCCTTTCACACCACTCCATACAAATCCAAGCCAGCTGTCCCACCTGCCGGAGCAGCTTCTGTTCTGGGCTCTGCTGTCTGTAGGTATTGTGCTTATTGATTACCTGTGGCTTATTGTCCCTTGACATTGTTAGGGAATATGCTCCTGCTTACAATCACTACAACTGACACAGACTATTTCAGACGTGGCTGCAGCAGCCTGGCTGCCTCTCCAGGTCAGAGAACAGTGGGATTGGTATGAAATGAAAAGGAAGCTAAAAAGGGAATGTTTAGAGAAGTCACTGAAGTCAGAAAAGACTGGGGGCCTTCCTGACTCTAGCTGTCAATAAGGTGTTAGATAGGGGAAGATTAACACCCTTTAGCAATGACACAGCTGTTCCATTGAAGGTGATAACATGCAATCAGGGGAGGGAAGAGTCTAGCACAGAATAATGAACAGAGCAAGCAAATATCAGCAACAGGGAAGTTTTAGCCCAAGAAGCTGAAAAAGCTTCTTCAAGCTGATTATTTTAGTGGATATAAATAAGTATAAAAAGCCTCACTTTAGGTCTGCAAAAGAAGCTCAAATATTTACCCCTCTTTTTAAAGTCAGACTGGCTCCTAAGAAAAGTAGTGATAATGTAGAGAGTAAAAATCTCTTATCTGACTTGGCAGTGAGCGTGCAGATAAACACAAAGCTTCTTACCCTAAAAATGGCACGTAGCACTGGATGTCCTCCTCTGAAAGCATAGGAAGTTGTGATGAGAGTAAGTTTTGGAAA